ATATAAAGAACAATTTTCAACCACCACAAGACATTGTCGTCCCCAGTGCCAACTTAGAAATGGCCTCAAAGCTTCAGGGGGTTTCAGCTGATTGATTGGAGACTTAATTAGTAGGTTCTCCTTCCCGAAGGAATGAAATTGAATTCCAGTGCATCTTCCTTAGATCGCATTTTATTTAGGACAATGCCCACCCAGAAGCCATTGATGGCCCCCACTCTCATTCCCCTTCTCATTTTTTTCCTCTTATTTTTAACCATACAATTTTTCACAAAATAATATTACATACAAATCAAAAAATTTTCATTCTTTCAACCACACATTTTTCAAAAAAATACTATTCCAACCATTAAAATTTGACAAGAAGGGGGGGCCTAACCGGGGCTTAATTGCAAGGTCAATTTTTGACAATTTTCATGGTTTCTTCAAAAATATTATTTCAAATATAAATACATGATTTGTATAATATTCAAAGTAGACAAACATAAACTTTAAGAAATGCAGTTTTTTTAAAGAAAAAAGAAAAAATAATGCATATATTTGCAATATATTAATAAAAAATATTCGATAAGTGACGGTGAATATATAAATTTATGGTTAGACCCTAAATTCGAAAAATCTATTACGTTATCTACTTTTCCATTAATGTAGCCAATGCATCTAATGAATAATCAATTACCATTAGGATAGAGTAGTTTGTTGGGTATTGATACCCAATAAATCCTAACAGTGATGTTAAAATGGGTTGGATTAATTACATTGACACCACAATTGGTTGGTTCGAACCGAAAACAAATTGGGCCACCTGACGTAGTTACTAGGGCTGGCCTGATATTTTGGGGACTTTATGCAAACTTCAAATATGGAGCTCTTATATTTTGAGTCTTTTTACAATGAGTTTTAATATAATTATGAAGAATCTAATTCAGACAACTAAGCCCCAAAATTTGAAGAGAAAAATAACAAAATGTCAAGCTTTAACATTCAATACAAATTATAAGCGAAGTTTGGCAAATATAATTACAATGCAATGGCAAAAGGGTATGTTCGTTTCTTTGATCATTTTTTCACTGCAACTGTTTCAAATGAAATTGTATGTGTTTATTTGAGTGATTTATATACAAAATTAGAGAATGTTGTCCGCGAGAGATAGTGTAACAAAATAAAAAAGATAACAATAAAATACAAACGAGTTTCTAATTTTATTTTAACTTATAGGAAATTAACTTACAAAAAAGAAGTATGAATGCGGACAAAGAATTATTAAATTTAAAGTACTTTCAACAGATATCTAAAAAGGCTATTACATGAGATTGAAGCAAAACAACAACAACAATAATAATAGCATATATACTCCATAGTATATATTTTGAAAATGAGGGAGAAAGGAACATGTAATGATGCGAACCCGTGAGCAACGAACACTCACGAACCCACAACAAGATTGCCACAGTTCCCAAGAACGCCAATGGATCGATGGTTTTGGATTTAATCCTCAAACAATGAACTAGGCAACTGTAGATATATTAAATCTACGACCTCTTAATCACAAGGCTTGCGAATCTCACCCGAAATTTGTGGATCTGACTCAATAATCATGAACCAAACAACCGCCACAATCACTTGGATATGCCCACCTTTTGATTACAAACAATTAATTGAAATCACACCCGGGTTTTGTTTGAATGCCACAAGATTTGTTAAATCTTGATAAGTTCGGTAAATTGAAGCATCACGCCTCGAGAGAGAAAATTCTCCATCAATCAATTCATCATAAAAACTTTGTTCAATGCAATGAAAATTCCTATATATACTAAAACCCTAAACATAATTAAAAAGAAATTAAACTATTAAAACCTATTTAAAAAAAGGTAAAATAATCAGCAAAATAATGAAAGAGATGTGAAAAAATTAACTTCCTAATATAAAAACGAATCCTGCCGAAATTCTTCGATTTTTCTTAAGCCGAACAAGTTGCGTGAAGACAGGGAATTCTGCCCCCTTTTGCCTTATGCGAATTTAGTCCAATTTCCAGCCTTTAATCATCTAACTTCAGCCGCCCATATGTTTATATATTTTATAAATTCAGCCATCATTTTGCATGCATAAAAGTGTGGATAATTAAATTCTGCATTGCTCCAGCTTGCTTAGTTCTTCATTCCCAACACATAATTCTATTCAATTGACTTGTGAACGTCAACCTTATGAAACCCATAGCTCAATTA